ATGCAGGCAAAAACAATATATGCCATTTGCTGAGCTCTTATGTGCTGGTACCTCACATGGATTATCTCATTTCATCTTGATAATGACTCAATGAAGTAGGGATTATTGTACATGGGAGGAAACTCAGTTTAGGCAGATTAAGTTACTATCTAATATCTAGGTATGTGGTAAAATTGAGACTCCAACCCAGGTCTAACTCCAAAGGTCAAAGTTTTTTTTTTTGTTTTTTTTTTTTAACCATCACACTATTCTATTGCCTTCAAGCACATGGAATATCCATGTGGATTGATCTCTCAAGAAATTGGAAATGGTAAGTCAAAATTTCAGTTGAATGTTCATGGATGAAAATACAGCCCAGGAGTTCTTCACACAAAGATGAGTTCAAGTGATGTTGAGGAAGTGCATGAGTTCACTCAGGAGAGAATGTAACGACAGAAGATAATAGAACATGATTCCAGAACATAATTCTAGAAGCACACGTATTTATCAGGTGAGAGGAGAAAGAAGGACTGGGTCTGAGGAACAAGAGAACAGCCAGAGCAGTGAATTGACAAAGGGGCTGCATGAGAAGACAGCTGATTCATAGGCCACCTGGGCTACTCTGTTCAGTCCTTGGATTAAATTTCAAAGAAGGGATTAGACAACACTGTCAAATGCTCCTAGAATCTTAACTATGAAGCAGATTGTGGCTGCAAGATTTGACAATTAGGAAGACTTTGGAGACTTCAGAGAGAAGAAAGTCCATATAACAGTATCTATGGATTGAAGAATGAACAGGAAGTAGGGAAATAAAGAAAGTGAGTATAAACATTACTTGTTCAAGAAGTCTGGCAGCAAAGGAAGGAGAAATTGTGGTATGGTATTGAAGGGATGTAGAATAGAGGAAATGTTTTCTTTTGTAGGATTGAGAAGAGAAAATGATTTTTTTTGGCTGAGAAGGAAAAGCCAGTGGAGAATAAGGGACTTAAAATATTGGGAGACTGATGAAAATTCATAGAGGACTAGAGAGAGGACTAGAGAGGACTAGTGAGATCAAGAACACATTTAGAGGGACAGCCAGGGGGAAGAAGTAGGATTTTCTTTCCCCAGAGATGGGAAAGAGAGTTGGGAGTTCAGGGGAAAGGCTGAAGGAGTTTGCATTGGGATGGAGGCAACCTCGTGAGGCTGTGGAAAGCCAAGTGGAGCCTGGTGTGGAGACTAATGAACAGCTTGTTGGACTGAGGAAGAGGGAGTCATATATATGGTCAAATGAACAGATTATCTAGCTTTCCTGAGGGCAGCTCTGAGTTAGGATTATTTTACTCTGTAGTGAAGCCAATCAGTTAGAATAGTGACCAAAACTCAAAACTCAGTTTCTATTTCAAACCAATACATTTTCAGACTTTCCTGAAACTTCACAGAGATACCTAATTGGATTTGGGTATTTCCCAAATCTCCTTAGTCTTACCTATAAACCCTTAAGGTAGGCTAACTCTTGGCTGATTCCATCAATGATATGCTCATGTTTGCCAGTTTCATTTTTCACTGTCAACAAATTCTAAGGGCATACATACAGAACCTCCCAACACGCTGACACTAGGAAAGCACTACTTTCTAGAAGAGGTTGTGGTAGGAAAATATTGGGAAATTACTGAGACATGGTGAAATATTTCAATATTGAGTTTCAAAATTTTACTCCTTAAAGACTCCAAACCCATTGAGAAATCTCAGTTTGAAAACCTTTCTATTGATTCTAGTTTCTGAAATAGAACCAAGCGCAAGGCGTAGCTAGTATAATTTAAAGTAACAGATTGTCTTCTTCTCTTACATCGACATTCCATTCAGCATTCTACACGAACAAAGTAATGTTCCAGATTTTTTATATATATATATATACAGTTACATTTACTGTATTTATGTGACAAATTCAATTCCAGATATAAGTATTAGCAATTGGAACCATGCCTCAGTTACCTCCCCTATGAAAGATAATGTAGGAATGTTATAACAAATATTTAGTTAAAAAAACCGAAAAGGGCTTTGAAAATGTAAAAGTGTAATATAAATGCTAAATAAAGATAATATATTCTGAACAGCAGGCTCCTTTGAAATAGGGCCTATGAATTCCATTAGCACTCTCTGTTTACATGCTTTTAGGAACTTTTAGGAGGATGTTGCCCGTGAACATGCCTGTGATATGATACCTATGGCCTAGTAACCAGCTGGGAAAGGGGCAAGTAAAAGAGTGGTGTAATAATTCACATAATAACATTTCTTTAAGTCATCCAATAAGTGTTTATTGCATACTTACTATGTGCAGGTACAGTTCTGGGTGCCAGGAATACCACAGGGAACAAGACAGGCAAAGTTCTTGCAAAGGACCTGAATAGACATTTCTCTAGAAAAGACATACAGATGTCCAACAGATACATGAAAAAATCCTCCACATCACAAATCATTAGGGAAATGCAAATTCAAACCACAATTAAATATCACTTCACAGCTGTCAGGATGGCTATTTTCAAAAATATGAAAGATACCAAGTGTTGGCAAGGATATGAAGAAAAGAGATCACTAGTACACTCTTGGTGGAAAAGTAAATTAATACAGCTATTATGGAAAACAGTATGGATGTTCCTCAGAAAACAACCAACAGAGTTACCATACGACCTGGCTATTCACTACTGGTTATATATCCAAAGGTCTTGAAACCAGTATGTTGAAGGGATATTTATACTCCAATGTTTATTGCAGCATTATTCACAATAGCCAAGTTATAAAAACACCCTAGGTATCCATAAAACAATGAATAAAGAAAATGTGGTATAGATGCAGAATAGAATACTATTCAACCTTAAAAAAGAGGGAAATTATGTCATTTGTGACCACATGCACAGAAAGACAAATAGTGAATTTCTTACTTACATGTGGAAGTTAACAAAGAAAACTCACAGAAGCAGAGAGTAGAATGGCGTTTGCCAGAGGCTGGGGAACAGGAGGGATGGGAAGATGTTGCTCAAGGAATATAATGTTTCAGTTAGACAGGAGGAACACGTGATAAGTATTTGAAGTACTGGATATGTTAATTAGCTTGATTCAATCATTCGACATTGTATACATATGTAATAGCATCATTTTATGTCTCATAAATATAGACAATTATAATTTGTCAATATTCAATAAAAAGAAAAAATGTAACAGGCAAAAGTCACTACTCCAAAACTAACCTTTATTGATTATTAAACAAGTGCCAAAGACTGTTCTTGCATTCATCCATTAAATCCTCATAACAACCCATAAGCTAGGTACTGTCAGTATTTCCATTTTATAGATGTAGAAACCCAGGCAACAGAGGTTCAGAAACTTGCCCAGGATCACACAGTAGCAAGAAGTAGAGTTGGGATTTGAACCTCGAAGTCTGGCCTGCATGTTCCACTAATGAGAAAAAAATGACTGGGTATGGAATTGACTAAACTGACTGTCTAGGTTGGTCCTCTTTAATTCTGGAAGGCCAAAAAGCATGAGTCATACACAACTGCTTGGGGTCTTCTATTTTTCTATTTGATTAAAAAAAAAAAAGCTCCTCAATTTTCTGTAAGTGATGGGGAGTTATTATTGGGATGCCAGGGAACATAGGAATTCTTCTGTGCAGGCAGCCTTTATGGTGACCACAGTGGCCAGGCCTCACCAAGACTGGAATGGCATTTTGGACTAAAAGGGCATGCAGAGTTCATTGCAGCACTGGCACCTTTTCTTGCTCCTCATGCCGGATAATTTCTGTTCTTCTCTACCTTATGATTTCTATTTACATATAGTTTCTAATGCCTAATAGCTAATACACCTGTGCTCTATACACCTCTTTTTCTCTCTATGAATCACTTAGTTTTTACAATGCCTATCAGCTAACTTTCTCCCCAGTACCTCCAGTATCTCCAATTCCTATGGCTAACAGGGAGAATATGATTGGCCATTCACATGGGAAAGTTCTTCCTGCTGATTCATAAGCCACCTGGGCTACTCTGTTCAGTCCTTGGATTAAATGCCTACTCCTGGGCCAGTCAGCTGTGGCCAGAGGACAAGGTTAAATGCAAACAACATTCTAGAACCAGGCTCTAAAGGCATTGGGGGCTATTGTCACAGACATGTTCTGAACTCTGGCTTATTCCCTCTAACATTGTTTAGTTATATGGCTTCTTGGATTTAGGTTTGCAAATGAGTATGTTATGGAAAATTATAACTTGTCTTTTTCTTTTTAATTTAGAAGTCAGTTTATAGTCCCATATTATTCTACTCTTTTGAATATGCTTATAATATTTCTATTTCTGCCTTCTTTGTATCTAAATGAAATGATAATATTCACTTCATATCTTTATATATTTAATTTCCTTAAGATGTTTAGAATGTGATACATATTTTAATCCTTTCCTTACCTGATGAGTAATATACCCTTTTTCCTTCACCCTCAGCATTTCAATTACATTTCACCATCACAAGCTCTGTGCTAAGAATGTATGCAGATGTGTCACAAGAACGAGAATCAGGATGCAAATTAAAGGACCTATCTAAACATTTCAATGTTGTCTAGAACACTAACGGGAAGATCAACTCAGCTCTTACAAATATCAATAATAAGAATCTTGGCCAAATCAATGTTAATGTCATTTTTATACTTGGAAAAACATGGACCACACAATTATGTAGGCTAAAAAAAATCAATAACTTGACTCACACTTAAAAGTAAGATAATACATTAAAAGGATGATTTCAAGTATTGTTCGTTTAGAAAATTTCTATAGAAATACTCTATTTTACCTTAAGACTTGTGACCAATAGCACACATTGCAATTTGGGGGACTGGAGTTAGGAAAGCAGTTTGTGGCTATGAAACAGATCAAAACTAACTAGTCTTTAGGGAATAGAACCCATGACCTTCCTCTCATTAGTACCAAGCTTAAACCAGATGAATGAGCTATTCATTGATATCATTCTGATACCCAGCAGATAGATCAACCTTTCCTCCTTCCTTAAAATCCCTTTCTTGGTTCCATATTTTTTGTACAAAAATGTGACAGTATTCCTGTTATATGCGAAGGGGTGAGCAGGGACAAAACTTTTAAAGAGACTTCAGAAATCAATTCTTCTGTTTTCTTTGTTTAACTAGTGAGAGAACTGAAGCCCTAAACTATGAGGTGACCTGCCTAATGGTTCCCAGTGGTGGTGGCAGAAGTGGATTAGAGCAAAAATATTTTGGACTTCACTCCCAGGCACTTTCAACTGGTGAAGGGCTGGCTCATGGAAGAGGTCATCCTTGAATTTTTCCAGGACAGGAGGAGTATGTCCTATCAATGGAGGGAAAACTTAGTATTAGGAAAAGAAAGTTTAAGTTTCTAAATTGAAGTTTGTGCACAGTGGAGGCTACAGGATGAAGTAGTGAGAGGTTTTGAATGATCTTCATGGGGGTGTGGAGGTGGGATGACAAGAAGCCCCCAAAAGTCTCTGAAGAGTGAGTGCAATGACTTAAGACATTTTCTATATAAAATGACTGTAGCTTAAGAATACTTAGAAATGGAGAACCTGAAATCATTTTGGTGTGGACAAGTTTGGGTATAAATAAATACAAAGAAAAATAAAGGAGTGAGACAATACTTTAGTGTGGGGTATCAGGGAAGTTATGGAGGTGGGTCTGAAGGATGGATTTAGTATGTACATGTGGTAGGGTGGAACAGGGTGGAATGGAAAGTAGTAGAAAGGTGGAGCATGCTGAGATTAAGTGATGCTGGAAAGAAGGCATTCATCATGCATTATTAACCAGTGACTGAATGGCAGAAGGTTGAAGGAATGGCAAAGAAGATTCTACTAGTATACTACTAGGAAACAGATGGGAAAAGGTCCTATTAATAGTACACATGTATATGAATTATTGTTATCTAGATTCTAGTAGTGCAGTCTGCCTCCATCTCAGATACCAGTACCAAAGGACTCTGTAGAAAACTGTGGTAGTGGCCTTTAAAGTCATTATACTTACAAGTGAGTCCATTCAAAGTCTTTACCATCCTGAACCACATCTTGGCAACAACTGAGATAAGGTTTTAATAATGATCTCCGGATGAGAAGGACAATGCATTGTAGAGAGCCTCAAGTCATCCTTACTTCTGTAAGTGAACTTGGTCAGTGCACTTTTCACACAAGCCTTGCTCTCTAAACCCTTGGGCCTTTACTCGGGCTTTCTCTGATTGGTTGACCTTCCCAGATACCTTCTGGAAAGGAGGATGGCTTTGCACATTCAGGATGCTTGTCCTTGAAGAATCAGCTTAGCCATCTCTTCTGGAAAGCCTTTCCTGGTGCTCCACAATTGTTCTTGCTTTCCATACCCCTACTATAACACTTACTATGCTGTAACATAATGCCCAATTTACTACACTCTCTGGCCAGACTGAATTCCTTGCAGCCAGGGCCTAGTTTTGATCATCTGTTTATCCCCAGCACCTTGCAGAGCGCTTAGCACAGGTAGGCCATTAATACAAATTTATAGACTGTTGAACAAATATCTCTGAAAATACATGTACAATAGAAATATCATCCAGAAATTATCTAGAGAGAATGAATCTAAAATGGATTTTCTAGCAAGAGGAATCTACGATTAATTTAGTTTCTTTTGGGGAAAGGCCTTAGTTTTGCACATAGCCTGTGGCCTTTCTTTCCTTCTCCTCCTGTAGTTTACCTTTGGCCATTTCACTGCTTATTATGCAAGGGCTAGAGAGAAAAGGAAAGAAGCTGAAATTCAGAGCAGCTAATTAAGCTGTTTGGGAGCAGCTCTGAAAAGGGCTGGATGTGGTGGGTGAAATCAATAGTGAGCTGGTGGTTTGAGATCACCTAGAGCTCTCACTAACCCAGCCTTTCCTTCTTCACACCCTTAAACCAATGGCTGCTCAACACATGAAGCATATTTTACAAACTCATTTCATTTTCACAGGGTTTGCCCCCTTGTTCCGGAGTACATGTCAAGCCACATACCTTGATTTTTGGTCTGGAGAATTCGGTCACTACACCAACTGAAGAAATAGTGGGGTGGTCTGCTTCTCTAGGGTAATTTCATGGTCTTAAGGAAGGAATTTAACAGTTTATTTTCTGAAACTGGTTCAAGGAACATTCCTTAAGTGAAAAAATTCAATCAAGAATAATATTACTAACGTGGTGGAGAAGGTTTTTTAATACAGAATTTCCATCTGTGATGTATTTAAATCGTAGGCCTCGGGGAGCAATTTCAGAAAAGGGCCTCCTTCCCCCTTTGTTGGATGAAAAATAAATAGTCTACTCTGGGGATGGAGGCCTCCCCTTACCTCCCCACCCCTGCAAAATGTAAGACTCGCTTCCATAGTTCCTGAGATCACACGTGCTACTTTTCCCCACCCCCTCGCACAGCAAACTCAACTATTGACATCAAAATGTTTATCGTAACTTTAATTACTTAAATTATCTTGTAGGTACTCACACCTAGTAGAGAGAATCGTGTGCTGCCCAAAAGGCGGCCTCCAGTCAATAAACGGAAAGCTGTCAACACTGAAATTAAAATACTCTCCTGATCTAGTTTTGACGCTTTAACAAAGACAGGTTTTGCCATTTAGGACCGCTCAGCCATCTTGACTGAATACATTAAGAGGGTAGTCCTCGACCTGCTTATTGCCAAGGTACTTTAACAGTGATTTCTGAGGAGCTGTACACCTCTCACCAGAGGCCTAACGCGTCTGAGCTGTCAATAAAGATCCTCCCCGAGGAAGGGGAAAGAACGCGCAAGTTTTAAATGCACACTTCATTATGCATTCTCCCAGTCCTAAAGCAGGGGGGAGACTACACTCCGTAAAGGCTTAAACTTTATTTCCTACTTTCCCCTGACCTGTAGCGTGTATTTTAGCCTTTGGGCAGCGTCTGTGCAAGACTAATGGCTGAATGCATACATTTCACAGCACATGGTGGATGTGCTGCTCTGAGAATCGCCTTGAAAAAAAGTAAAGTGGAAAAAATAGACAAAGAAATCTATAACCTGAGCCGTCTTTCGTATTTGTTCGCACTGCTCTCCTGAACCGGCACCGAGGCGGTGACGAGGAGATCGAAAAGATGCACCTGAAACAGTATCCGCGGGCGGCCGCGGCTGCCACCCGGCTCTCCTGCTGCTTTCCAGCGGCGAGCGCGCAGCAGCAGTAACAGGGAAGCCAGAGCGAGCCTCCCGGCGGCGGCGGCGGCGGCGGCACCGGCACCAGCGCAGTTTCCCCTCTCCCCAGCCCTGACTCCACGCGCACATGCGCACTGCGCCCGCAGCCCTGGACCATTTGTCAGGACTACTCGTGAGACGGAGAAAAAAAAAAAGAGAAAATTTGGGGGTAAGAAGCGGTCGATCGGATCTAATCTCTAATTAATCTGAAGATTTGCCCGTGCAAAAGCCATTCATTTATTTTTCTGGGTGCGGATGAAAGTTGAGAGCCCGACAGAGGGAAGGAAGCGCACCCTCGTCTTGTGAAACAGATCAGGGGAGGGGAAGGACAGAAGGGGTTTCTCCCCCACTTCTCTGCGCCTCTGGGAAAGAGGAGAAAACTTAATCCCGGGGAAAAAAGTGGGCAAGTGACTCGGAAGCGGCTGGAGGGGAGTCTCTGGGCATCTCACTCCCAAGTAGTGAGTGCGAGTGTGAAAGAGGAACAAAAGAGAGAGAAAAGAGAAAGGAAAAAATGGGGGGAGGAGAGACTTGTATTTTTTCTTTGCGCGCACACGGGGAAGGGTGTGGGGGCCGTGCGGAAGGGAGCGGGGCGAGGCGGCGGCGTCGGGCTCCGGCCGGCGCGCAGGCGGCGGGATGCGTGTGGGCCCCCTCCCCCGCGCCCCCCGAGCTTGTCACTTTGGTCGCTTTCATGACACCGGGCGCGGGGCGGGGAGCGCGGCGGCGCCGGGCTCCGCCGGGAGCGTGCCGGTGGGCGCCGCGGAGCCGCAGCCGGGGGCGACGCGGCCGCGAGGGGGGCCGCGGGGGCGCGGGGCGGCCGGGGCCGCGGATCGGTGCGGCGGGAGGCGCGAGCCCCGCGCGCCGCCCCTGCGGCCCCCTCCGCCCGTGTGGCCTTTGTGCCGGGCGCGCACCGGAGAGCGGGCGAGCGGGCGGGCGAGCGCGAGAAGTACAAGTACGGGAGACCGAGGCAGTGGGAAAAGAGGCCGGGCCACTTTCTGCCCGCTCGGGCTGCGGAGAACGGACTGGTTGAATGTGCAGGCGCGTCTCCCGGCGTGTGCCGTGTGCGCGGCGGAAAGGCCTCCCCGACTCCCACCGCGCACACGCACACTCACACGCACGCACACTCGCACGGACCCGCGGCGGGCTCGGCGGCCGAGAGTTTGCGTTCCCTTCCTCGCCGCCTCCCCCTTCCCGACCGAGTGTGTGAGAATTTCATATAGATCAGCTCCAATTTCCGCCATTTTGGGAAAGTTGCACAAAAATAAACCCTCCGGTTTATTTCTGCCCGAGGCAGGAAAGTGCTTCGGGAAGCGAGGCGGCGCGGGCCCGCGGCGGCCGTCCGCGCGGGGAGCTCGGCCGCCGGGCCGGGAGCCCGCGCCGTCGCGCGTTCGCCCCGCGCCGAGCCGGCCGGGTGGGGGCGCGGGCGGTGTGTCGGAGGCGGCCGCGGTAGCGGCGGCGCCGGCGCGCGGACCGGGCGGGTGGGGGAGGCGCGGGGCTGCTTTTCCTGCAACTTGTTTACGCCTTCCTTATATTGGGGAGGAAAAGCGGGGTCGGGGCCGGGGCCGCCGCCCGCCTCGCGCCGCGTGCGTGTGCCATTCCGGGATAATGGGCTCTGCACACTCGCGTCCTGGGCCCCGCGGGCCGTCCTCGCGCCGCGGCGGCGGGGCGGGGGGAAGTAGAGGCCGGCGGGGGTGGGGATCGGGAAGCGCAGGAGCCGAGGCATCCGCCGCGCGCCCCGCGAGCTGGTGGGGGGAGGAAAACTTGAGAGCCCCGGCAGGGGAGGAGGGCACGGGGGCACGGGCGGGGGGAGGGCGCAACTTTTGGACTGGTGGTAAAACTTTAATTACCTTTAAAGAAAAAAAGGCCCCGTGTCTCCCCCTCCCCCTCCGTTCTGGTCAAAGCACGGCCCACGGCGCGACCGTGAGAGAAAGTTTAAAAGCGGGCGGTTTCCTCCCCGCCGTCCCCGCGGAGGGGTGGGGGTGTCTGTCCGTCCGTCTGCGCTCGGTGAGAGTGGGGGTGACGAGCCGCGCTCGCCGGGTGGCGAGGACCGTGGCTGTACCCCACCCTTCCTCGGGGAGACGAAGGTAAACGTTGCTTCGGTTTCCCTTCTCAGTCCCCCTGCCGCCGCCGCCCCGCTTCCTTTTCCTCCCCCTCCCCGCCGATTTTTTGAGGGGACCCTAAAAACGGAGTCTCTTTCCTTATGCAACTTCCTCGGGCGCAGCGAGCGCGGCCCTGCCCCCTCCCGCATCCCTCGGCCCGCTCCTTCGCCGCCGCGGGGCCGCCGCCGGTAAAATGCCTCCGAGATCCTTCGGAGTGCACAGAAACAAAAATAGGGCTTTAATTGTTCTGGGTCAGGGGAAACTGAGATGAGAAATAAGAATTTGGGGTGGGGGCGGCCGGCGGCGGCGGCGAGCGCGTCGAGGCATCATTTCGGTTTTCCTAGAGCGTGGTCTGTGATGTCTTTATCGGCTCGGGGAGCCCGAGAGCCTCTGTGCCGGCTATCTCGGTCGCGTGGATTTTTGCGCAAGTTTTTAGAAAAACACTGACTCGAGTAGAGAGCATTTCTCCGGAAAGTTTCAAGTGCAGCAAAATAGCGAACGTGCAAAACTGGCCAAGGGGAGACCTCTAGTGGTTAAACGCATCTTTAAGTTCGGAAGGCCGGGAGCAAAGTTTGGCCTTTACTTGTAGCTACGTAGTCCGGTCAGACGTGGAAGTAATTAGAGGACCTGAGCGAGCAGCCAGATGTGGTGTGAAAGGATGCTGATCAGAAATAGAAAGTTTAGTAAGTCGGAGAGCAGTGAAATCTGAGGACTCAGACCTTGTAACTTCCCTCCGTCATTACTTACGTGTGAAAAATACTTCGCTGTTATAACTGGGTTTTAAGATTGGTCACTCCCTGGGTTAGAAGCAATCGCTTGTATTTATTGTTGTCTATACCTTTCATCAATTTTTGACCACGAGTCACAGCGAGTAACTTCATTTTCAATGTTATAAATACAAAGTGAAACATGTGTTTAAGGCTTTGAAGAAATGAAAAAGACCTTTGGTTGAGATTTGCCTTTAATATGAGCTGGTCACTTTATTCTCTGATAAGAATAATTGAAGGCTAGTGTTTAGTTTCTTAGCTGTTTGGTTATATATAGTTGTGAAATAAGTAGTGTCTTTTGGTTCTAAGATTGTAATTTTGTTTCACTGGGTAAGAAATTATTTCTGAATACTTTGTATAATTTGTGATTTAAAACACTTAAATATATGGGCAAAACTGCTTACATAATATCTATTCTTTTGCCAGTGTATATTCTGTAAAGTATCTTTAAAGATAAAAGCAGTGTGGGGTGGTAACGTTGAGTCAAATGATCCCTGTAACTTTCACCTGTTTGTCCTACAATGAGAAAGACTTTCTTGGGTGAACTTAGTTTATGGGAATGATATGAATGATTAAAACTCATTTCATCTCATCCGGGACTAGTTTATTTATACAGAGTGGTATGGTGTGAAATTATGCATGTCAGTGATTCAAATGTAAACTTACAAATTGTGGATTGTGGATTGAAGGCTTCTTTTTTGAGGACCATGCTTTGATTCTACCTTTCCTCTCTTTAAATCAATGCTAGACTCTTAGAAGAAATCTTGGGAGTGGACAGCAATTGTGAAGACCATTGGACAGTTCTGCGTTTCTTGACTGCTGCAAAGTAAGATTTGCTTGTTGAAACAAATTGTTTCACATGCTTACAAATGTTAAAAGCTGTATTTGGAGATCAGGAAGGAGAGTGTGGGGCAGGGTTGGCAGAAAATCGTCATTTTATGGAAGCTGCTTTGAATGCATGAATCTATTGACACTAACTGTGATTGAGGGTTGAATGAAACATTAGAAGTTATGAGATTGTCCTGGGGTGACGATAATCTTTGGACTGGCTTACTTACTAGATTTTTTTTTTTTTACTCACCACTATACTAATGAGGAAGTAGGTTCTTAATTAGCATTTTAGCACCTGTTTTCTATTGAAAGTAAATTTTTTTACTCTTTGGAATTGAAAAAGTGGAAAAACTGGAATAAAGTGATTGTAAATTCATCTTACTTTTATATACGTATACAGTGATATGGAAGATTCTGGAACTTTAAATGTCTTTGGAATCCAGTGGTAACATTTTGTAATGAAATTTATGGTGAGAGCTTTGGGGTATTTAAGTAACTTAACTCCTATGGCTTAAATCCAAGATGGGCTGACTTATGCCAAATATCATGTCACAGGGATATTGTGAAGTTCCAGTAGCATAGACTTTTCAACTTTTTGTTTTTGTTTATGTTTGTTTTTGGTAGAGACAGGGTCTTGCTATATTGTCCAGACTGGTCTTCAACTCCTAGCCTCAAGCAGTCCTCCTGTCTTGGCCTCCCAAAGTGCTGGGATTATAGGCATGAGCCACCATGCCAGGCTAGACTTCATAACTTTTGAACATATCCCCACAGAGAATACAGCTGTTGTCCAATAAGATCCCGTTGGTAAATTTCGAGAGTGCTGGCTTATCTCTAATAATCCAAGACCCACTTTTAGAACAAAAGTCATCCTCAGGCAGAGGGGGCAGCTGTCTCTGGGGTGGAACATTCTAAGTACATCTGTGCCGTTCTAGTGCTTTCTACCATTATAGCCTTTTTGCTTTTTCCCCCCTCAGTTTTCCCTCTCCTTTTCTGCTTATTTTCCTGCTTTTTCTATCTTGAGTGTGACAGGGGTTGCTAATTCTTGTTGAGCACAAATAAAAGGAAACAAAAATTAGTCTACATTTTATGAACAGGACTGATAATCCTGAGTGGGAGAGATTGTGGTCTAGGGGTCAAACTGAATAATTACTGATATAAAAATGACTAACAGGAGTTTACTGTCACTTTCTGCATGTGGATCATTTTGAATAGTGTAATTAGCAAA